GCTAGACTGACAACTACCGGTACTCCAGTTAATCCCAGGATAATTGAAATCACCAGTGATAATCTTAGCACTGAAGTTTAGAGTAGATGCGTGTATAAATGCATTGATAATACGATCATTCAAATTATCAGTACTATCAGGAGCTCTATATATTGTAGTATCAGTTTATATGTTAAGCCAATATACTTTATTCTAGTTGCTGGCCAAGCCAATTCGCCTATCCATTATGAGTCATATTTTGATCTTGTTAATTATTCGCTTATGAACATTGACTATACTTTTATATGAGCATATATGTGCACACTTCGTATCCTATTCATCATATGTCTGTCATTCACTTTTGCCTGATTATAAATATTGAGTAATGCTTGCTCATATCGAGTTGGCTTCCCAGCCATCTCCAATGCGCATTGTTCTCGCTTCGCTCTCGAGTTGGCTTCCCAGCCATCTCCACTACGCATCATCTTTGCTTCGCTCGCTTACATTTGCTCATGTGCTTACAACTTTCTAGTCTGCATCATTTATCAATAAAAATGTAGTTGCCGCTTCCTTATGCCTTCTGATTTTATACACCGTCAAGATTGGTATAGTAACGGTTATCGAAGTGAACTATTATCGAAGCACGGCACTACATAACTGGTTAGCCCGACTAGCGAACACGCTACAGAATTGGATGCTTCGCCGAACGAACATGAACCAGAATCGACAACCTCGAAGCAACAGAATTGGCGACCGCAACGAGCGAACACAAACCGAAAATGAAACCGTCGACGACATATTCCGTTATGATCCGAATAACCTCTATATGCTCATTATTACAATAATGTCATATCATCATCTAACGTGGAATTATTATTTTTGTTCGTATTAACATTAAACTATGACATATACGCAGTCAAATCACTAGTCGAACAAATCATAATTATATGGAAAGTACACGTTATGATATTCGAAACTCACGGGATTATTTTTATTATCCAATGAGGTAAAATTTTGCTGATTTAGGTGAGTTCGTTCCAATTTTTTTCATGTCATTTTCGGTCTAATATTACACTCTATCATAGACATAAGTTTGGAGTCATACTCCCGATAGTAGGAACTTATGTTATCGATATACAACTAATGTTCATTCATCTCATTGGTGCGCAGCAATCGTCGTCTCCTACACTTTCAGCGACAACCTAGACCGAACTTCCGCAATTTTTGTTTCACGATGATCCCTACTTTAACGTTTATACACAAATCAAGTATTCGACGCCGCATTACCAGCCGATTTGTAATGATTATGTTCATATTATCTATTCATTCACATGTATAACTGAATGCCGCATCATCCATTACCGATAATCACAATTCGATTACTGCAATTGATTTTCTATCCCCATAGCACTGCATACAAGAACATAGAGTTTAGAGCTGGTCTCTCAAAGATACACTGTTGTTCGTCACATTCAAGTCAGTTTCACTCGCTGTCATCGACAATCATATGTATTGGTATTTTTATCATGCCTTAAAACGGTTTCGTAATAAATGAGGTTGAGCGCATATCCCTCTAACTACACAAACCACGCTAGGCTTCTAGATCAAAAAGGAATACAACTCCGCATATCTCGTCTAAGCAGTCACTATCCTGTTCCTCTGGTCATTCTACTAATACATATTTGACGATAACTCAACGCAAGCGTTAGCGCACGCTGATTTCGCATTTTATTATCATTATCAATTGCAGTAGAGCAATGAATATCAACCGCTGATGCAGTCATCACCCAACGGCTGGATTATTTTTTTATCCCACATAAACTCCAATCGTGTAAATTCGAATCTACTAATCGCTGATCGACGCTATTTACTCTACTGCGGCTTATCAGAACATATTTCACTGTTCTTTATCGTCATATTCAGTCGGCACCATAGACCAATTTCTGTTATATTCTATTTTCACGATATTTCAAATTGCTTACACGAACCTGTTATTTTATCATTCAGACAGTCACCACATATATGCATGTTAAATTTTTTTTCGTACGCTTACTAATGTACTCATAATCACATGCTAGCATTTCAATTTTTTGTCCGCATCTTGACAACATTCATGTACATTTTTACGTAAGTATGACACTTTCGCTTAATACGCTCACCCCTCACATGACACTGTAATTTATCAGGTATTGTACCATTTTTCCCACATTTTGACGTTATCCTCATACCTCTTCAGTGTCATTTTTCGAAAACAGACATTTTTTTAAATAAATGTGCTATTTTCTACAAGGGGGCTATGTAGTATCAGTTTATATGTTAAGCCAATATACTTTATTCTAGTTGCTGGCCAAGCCAATTCGCCTATCCATTATGAGTCATATTTTGATCTTGTTAATTATTCGCTTATGAACATTGACTATACTTTTATATGAGCATATATGTGCACACTTCGTATCCTATTCATCATATGTCTGTCATTCACTTTTGCCTGATTATAAATATTGAGTAATGCTTGCTCATATCGAGTTGGCTTCCCAGCCATCTCCAATGCGCATTGTTCTCGCTTCGCTCTCGAGTTGGCTTCCCAGCCATCTCCACTACGCATCATCTTTGCTTCGCTCGCTTACATTTGCTCATGTGCTTACAACTTTCTAGTCTGCATCATTTATCAATAAAAATGTAGTTGCCGCTTCCTTATGCCTTCTGATTTTATACACCGTTAAGATTGGTATAGTAACGGTTATCGAAGTGAACTATTATCGAAGCACGGCACTACATAACTTAAACTTTGTATGCGCACAGACTAGCTGTTCAAATTCTTTCAAACGTTACGCTAATAAATGGGAATCAAATCGAAAACAGGATAGGGCACAAGTATTTTTGATGCTTTTTGTTAAGTCGGATACATTGGCATGGATTGTCCTGGAGATTAGCTGCCTTTAGTATCGAGTTTATTACAGTTTTAATGGCAACTTTGTCCGGTATATTATATATAATCACATTATTTCAAGAGATTATTCGCTTGGTGACTTCACCAGCTATCAAGTCAATAACGGATTCTACTTTGACCCTGTCTCCAAGTTCTGAAGTAACTATATCCTTTGACAACAGCAGTCGAAGGAGTGACAGTGTCTTTAGTTCTAGTTTAAGATCATCATGCTTTAATAAAGAGCCCGCAAGTGACTCCACTTTAGAACGCATATCACTTAATTGCTTAAAGACAGCGGCTAATTAGCTCTTAATAAGATCGATACTATCTGTTCGTGAGATAGAACTCATTATTTAGTTAGACATAGAGTCATCCAGCAACATGTGTGGAATAAGTCTACACCCACTATAATCTGGTGCAACAGGAGTTGCAAAGCATGGGGTTGTTAATATCTGAAGAACTAGGACTTTTTCGAGCTCGTTTATGTGTTAGACGTGCCATTTTTCTTCAAGGGTTAACTGAATGTTATTATTGATTTGGAAACTAGGGTTTAACGATATGTAAGCACTTTGAAATTAATACTGTGAGATTGCAACGCAAACTTCAAACGCACCGCAAAAATAAAGAATGTGGTTCACTAATGATGCTTTCATATGACTGATAAACACCTACTCACACAAAACAAAGTTGAATGAATGTTTTTTTCATTTTTTTCCCATGGTTACTACTATGTATAGGGAGACTGAAATGAAAATAATTACTTGATTATATAGTTTCAAAGATGGTCTTGCTTCAGCTATCAACAAACACTTTAATAGTATCATTATTATTGGCTTTATCCAATATTATATTTTTGGCACAATATAGAATTGTCAGCACAATGTATTTCAACAAGTTTCCATTTCTAACTTCTTGATCGATCCTGACGACAATTATTGAATGATCGCCAGTTACAAGTTAGCAGTATAGTCAATCGAAATGTAAATGATGTACAATCGTTTCGCTGCATATTACCCGCAAACGTGATATCTGGAATCGCGCCTTTGTAACTTGTACAACGAAAAATTTTTAAATCTTTGAGAAACGCACCTGAATCGGTTATGCGATTAATAGCCATATTGATGTATTAGAACAAGCAGAAATAGATAACTAGTTGAAATATCTAGGTGGCAGAAACAGGTAACCCAGATGTGCAAACAGGCCCCCAATTCACCATCTCATTTCAAATGAGTTTAGTGAAGATCATCTTATAGAATGATCCGATTGATGCATTCCCCGTTCGTCATTCTATGGAACTATCAACAATACCTTCGATGTGTTTAGACTCGATTAGTTATTACATCTCATATATATTGGCTATGAGATTGTTGTCAATCATCTAGATCAAATTATCCACATAACGTTCTATGTATCGTTCTATATCAATCACTGTGACAGATGAAATCGGTAACTATACCTAATATTCTGGATAGTTACATTCGACTATTGACCAAAAGCATTTGTTTTAACCTGATTCTAAACCAATGGTTCACACAGGCCTCAGTATCCTGAGGCAACAAATGAGGTGTCAGTCAATCGTTGGTTATCGTCTTCCATGGGACTGAATCTCTTTACCATGCTCCACTGCCTTGGGAATCAGATATGTAAGTCGAATTCTTTGGTTAGTGCCCACTGAGAAAACCAGTTGCTTTGGTTTGGGCACCCGTTCAGTATCACAGCCTTCACATAAATCAAATGAGATTTGTGTGGCGCATATATATCTGGTGTCTTCTTTCACCGATATTAATGTGTTTGAATAAATATTGTGATGTCATCGTTAGGACAATACATATCCACCTTATTATCAAGTCAGTCATCGCTCAATGTTCACTATAATTGTTAAAGTTCTCCCAGTTAGTAATATCTTTTCAATCGAATAAACGTACTTTCTATACTATTGATATGTGGAATAGACCAGTGATTACTGAATTTTATAGGTATCCAATTTATAAGATACGGTACGATTACTAAATGAATTTCATGTATCACGTTCTGTGAACTGTCATTAGGGTGTTCCAATGACTTCCATCATTCTTCTAAACTTTGTTTCTAGATTCTATAAGTGATTATTTAATGAGAAAACATGAATGGATTAATCATAATTGTAAATCACGAGATCGTTCATGGTATGAATTGTATATGGTTTTAAATAAATCAGTGAAACGACTGTTAGCCTATAAAAATAAATCTGATTACAATGAAGATAAGTAAGTTGAAATGTTTATGCTGAAATGTACAATATTTGATCTATGATTAATAACTTTTATGTGATTAGTATTTTGTCTCTCAAATCAGTAGTATTGAATGAAACACTCCCTTGTACTATTGATACCAGTTTTTTCTACTCAGAAGCTCCTATTCGTGAGTTGTTCAAATAATGTTATTCTAAGTTCAGGAAAATCTGCACAATTTTGGCTGTTTCTGAATGTTACTACTTAAACTACGTTAAAGTAGTGTGATAAATAGAAAGAAAATATTAAAATTGCTACAGATCACAAGTCAAGGGTAAATGATTAGTAAAATTTGAGATAAGGTACACGTTGTCTGTAAGATGGAAATTGGGAATATACGGTTATCTTACACAAAATTCTGTTTTTATTTTGGACGCTTAGTTGCATACGCCTGTTACCGTCAATGAACTATGCTACTCTCGCTTTGCTGATCCGCGTCTTCACATCTGCATCAGATCCTCTATGTTCATCATTGATGCTGCCCAGATGTGTAAAATTTTTCATAACTTTCAAAGCTTCTTCGTCAAGTGTGATTTCATTGATACATGCTTGCAAGTATTTTTAACCTGCATTCAATCAAGAGCTACCTAGTAAAACAATATGTTGCAAATTTACAGAAAAAACGGAATATAGCTAACAGCGAAATCCAAGATGAGCGTTTCGTTCTAGCTGGGACTTGTCTATCTCTGTTATGGATTATGTTCTGCTCACAATATTAAAGAAAGCAGTGTATATGTTTCTGATAGAAACATTTCTTTGCGAAACCATATTATTATAAATTCATTTAGTATTGTTTGTTTGAAACTTCCCATCGATATGTTAGGACTGCAACTGGTCAATCTCTAATTGTCATATGTGCATACTATGCGTATTGCCTCGATATAGCCTTAATTCACAAGCATGGTAAGCAAAGATGGAGAGTGGTTAGCAGTGGAATCCAGTTTGACGCGCATTTCATTCTATTTGGGACTGGTCAGATGGATGTACCTGCATCTCAGAGTTGATGTTCACTCTGAGGCTTTTTCTTTTCACCTAATGTTACTTTTTATACCAAGCTGATTATGCTTGTAAACTACTAACACGAATTTTGTGGTTATAATTTTCAGAAGGTATATGCATTAATTAAAGAGTGAATTCCAAATCTGAAGTGATTTAGGCTTTCCCGAATGTTTGACTGGAAACAACAATTAAGTTTTGGTTATGAAGTGTAGTGACCGGCCAGTCTCGATAAGAACACGAATGGAATAATAGAAACAATTATTATTATTGTAACCAATTGTACCAGAGATTGTTTTACTGTATTTGTTTAACTGTATCAGTTTCACTTCTGCTTTCGCTCTCCGCCTTGTTTGGTTCGAACTTGCTCACGCACTGCCTGTTCGCCTGTACTCTTTGACACGTCTCGGTATTATTTCGATACCACGAGATCGCCAATAAATACAATTGATCTGGATTAATAAAGTCTTCTGATTTACGAGCTATCAAAGGAACCAAGTCGTTTTTGGGCGCGTTAACGAATTGTAGTGGTGATCATAGTCCGTCTTCGACTCGACATCCACTACAAACTGGTGAGCCGTATTGGGAACACGCACAACTGGTGAACCACAACCAGTAACCCAATTCTTCGAGCACAGTTCAAACTTGGCCAATTCTCCAAACCAGATCAATCCGGTGAGTCTATTTATCTATCCACATCGGTTTCATATATTCGTATTGTTACTTTCAATATATAATATCTTGGCAACTTACTATGGTGGATAACGATAAGAATAGTATAAATATTATAGACTCCGAGGTACAGGCTATCAATTTTCGACCGGTTCCTTTCATCCCTCATGATCCAGAAGTCTGGTTCGCGGCACTGGAATCTCAATTTGAGATCCGCCGCATAACCAACCAAAGGCAAAAGTACGCCTACGCTTTGGAATCATTGCCCGGGGATCACCTAACTGCTGTTCGTGAGGTTGTCCCCAATCCGAACGTTCCGAACGTTTACGACCGTCTTAAGGATGCCATCCTTCGACATTTCCTCCCATCAAGAGATGAACGATTGAGGACTCTCTTAGCACGTCACCCTATGGGTGATGCTAAGCCGAGCCACCACCTCACGCGCCTGCAATCCCTCGCAGAAAACTCGACAGCAGACTCCGAAATAGTCAAAGAGTTATGGCTCGAAGCATTACCAGTTAGTATCCAACCATTTCTTACGGCCCTGCTCGAGTACACTCCACTGAACAAGGTGGCCCTCATAGCAGACAAGATTCTAGCACGTGTTAGCGCCAAAGACAACTATATTGTTGCCTCTACTTCCCGTTCTAACATTGATCTCGATGCTAGACGACCTCCGGCTCATGGGGATAGGGACAGATGTATCCATACTCGTCTCAGTTTCCGAGACCGCGCAAATGTGCCAGCCCCCTACGTCCCCCGACCCAGGTCACGATCTCGAACAGCCGTAACGACTCGCCCCAAGCGGGCATCTTCCAAGCCACGCCAGAAGGCGGTTTCGGAAGCGAGTCTGAGTTGGTGCTGGTTCCACCGTGCCTTCAAGGCCGGTGCCCGTCATTGTCGAGCTCCCTGCTCATACAAGACGGGAACTTCCCGAACCGGTGAGTAAATACGGCCGTACTCACCGGCCGTTTACCTCAGTTTGACCGTCTATTTTACGTGCACGATTATCGCACTAACGCTAGGTACCTTGTGGATACGGGTGCCCAAGTTTCTGTCGTACCTATCAGTAACAGTAAGTCTCAAGCTACGATGCTTCGACTACGCGCTGCGGATGACTCAGTCATTCGCAACTATGGTACACGACAACTTACGGTCAATCTGAGCAAACAGCCTTACGAAGGCCCTTTTCACGTGATTTCCCGTCACGAAAAGTCCTTCAGGGTTGATCGACATGGCCGTGTCAAAGTAGTCAGCATTGATCGTCTCATGCCAGCACACGTCGATGACAGTGCCCTACCTGATAAGCCGAGACCCAATGCTAGACCTATCAAAGCTTCTAGCGGGATCTCTACATCTACTTCGGATCCCACGCTAGATGCACCTGAGACCTCATTCTCACGTCCCAGTCAACAGCACTTGTCATCTGCCCCGTCTACGGACGAGACTTCCGGTCTCACGTCCAGACCAGCAGACTACACCGCCCTTGACTGTGGATGAGATTGCAGGCTCACGAGGTTCGAACGAGACTACCGTCTCACGTTCCGGTCGCCGAGTACGCTTACCCGTACGCTTTCGCGACTAACCTCATAACCAGCAGCGGATACAGTATAGGACCCTAACCCTATACTACACGAATGCTACACTTTTCTCTTTTTCTCTCATTTTTTTTATTTACTCCGAGCCTACGCCTCCGACCATCGCTGTTCCGATATCGTCGATTTCAGTAAACTTTGGCGAAGCTGGCCTGATCACCCACGCTCTAGTCAACGCACTCAGTCGACCTCTCTGGTTCCAAATACGTATGGCATACATTTGGTCCCGAACATGGTTATTCTGGTCGCATCTGGTTCCTTGGCTCAATCTGGTTTCGTCCTACATCTGCAGCGTTTCTGGTCCGGACCTCTACGAACGCAACTTTCAGATTCTGGATACAAACCACTCTGGTGTAGCATGCTAATCCAAGCAATCAATACAGTACGTTCCTTCTGGTACCGTTCTACGTCAAAGACTTTTGGTGGCAACTCGAGGATCAACGATCACTTCCTGTTCTGCCAACGCCTTCGTCCTACAATTGCACGTTTCGCGATCAGTCCCACGAACGAAACCGCTACTTATCGAAAGTGTGAACCCTTTCTAGCGGGGGGCTCCTGTAGTGACCGGCCAGTCTCGATAAGAACACGAATGGAATAATAGAAACAATTATTATTATTGTAACCAATTGTACCAGAGATTGTTTTACTGTATTTGTTTAACTGTATCAGTTTCACTTCTGCTTTCGCTCTCCGCCTTGTTTGGTTCGAACTTGCTCACGCACTGCCTGTTCGCCTGTACTCTTTGACACGTCTCGGTATTATTTCGATACCACGAGATCGCCAATAAATACAATTGATCTGGATTAATAAAGTCTTCTGATTTACGAGCTATCAAAGGAACCAAGTCGTTTTTGGGCGCGTTAACGAATTGTAGTGGTGATCATAGTCCGTCTTCGACTCGACATCCACTACAGGAGATATACATGAAAAAGATACTTCTTTGTCACACAGAGTTATCCTGTTCATGACCGGTATTTGGTCACAAATTGTCAAAATTGACAACGAAACAATCTGTCGGTATGAATCAATCAACAATTTGAATAATTTACATAAAATACAGAACAAATACTAACTTATGGATAGATGAGGTGGTTAGTATCAATGATTAATTCATTATGGAGCGTTGACGAATATCATACTTAACTAGTCATTCATATCTTTGGTTATGCCTCATACATGGAATTGTAATATGAATTACATTCTAAAATGTGTATCATGTTCTGATGTTGCATGGTTTGAGTTGGTCAAAAGTAAAATATGATCAGAGGGTTCGAGTTAGTTAGCCTACATCACCGAGCCAAACTATATCGCATTGCTGTTCCAACACAAATATTGTTTAAGGAAGCTGGGATGCTATAAGAACATCTTTCAAACCGACCCCGACAACCTGACATTTTCATGTAAAGATTTTGTATTTACTCGATGAAATTAGTTAGAGCAAGTGGACATATGTTCGCCGTAAGGACAAACGTTTATTCTGTAGTGTACCTGATAACGATTCAGACAAACAACCGGTGTCATCACTTGAACCCTCATTTTCAACTTTTCCTTCTGGAAGACATAATTCATGCTATTCTTCAATCACATTACATATATCTACCGAACGTTGTTTTGTTCAATCTGATCATGTTTGGACGATTGATCCAAATCGTAAACAGTGAACGAAACAGTTTGGAACTGATTTCACCATAGGGAATTTATGGAAGAAACAAGGAACAATAAAATAAATTACGTTCATGTAGTCAAGCTTGAATGTATGAAAAATCATTTGGAGAAATGGTAACTGAGAAATTATTCTGTTAGTGATATACTGAAGGAAGTTGATCATATACCTATGTACTATTTCAGGTCACTTATTTCGTACATTTTATTCGGTTTGGTAGGTAAACTCCTTTATTCATTCCAGTCTTGTGAGTTTGGCATACTATAGAAAGTATACATCGTGAGCAAATTGAATCTCAGAATACAACACACATATAGTGATAAGCACTTGTTTGTGGTACATTATTAGTTCAAAGGTGACTTCCCTAACTACTACACTAGATGATATAATTTCGCATATGTGAGGAAGGTATGATTTCTTTAAAGATGGAACATTCACATTGTCGAATTTATTCAGCATAATATTAGGGTAAAGTAGTGGGTTTTAAACATACCGTAAAGTTCCTGGCAGTGTTGTAATTTCGAGACTTCATTTGGCGTTCTTTCTGACCTAAAGTTCAGTGGGCTATCGTATCATTCAACAACCAACCCGTTAATCCATTTGATACCTTTTTTTCTAGCCAGTTATCTTCTCAATTTTAGTTATCTTTTTGTATCCTATTATACCTGTCAACTATCTAGTTGACCACTGACTATATGACTCTGACATTTAACCAGTTGATTGAGAATCTGGATCTATGTTGATGTGCTATATTTCTTTAGAATATCCGAAATCTTTAGACTTTGTTCAAACCACAGTGATGATACTTTCCGAATCGAAATATGTCTGTAGTTGTTACCATCGATTCGTATAATTGATAGTGCATTGTTTATATTCACTGCTAACCAGCGTTTGTTTATCTGCATATCAAGAAAGTGTTCATTTTGACCATTGTGGTACTTCTTAAAGTTTATATAAATTGTTTTGTGTTTATTCGCTGTTGTTTCTTCCATTCCGCAAAATCTGGTATAGGGTGATTATTTTGGCCTTTGGGTAATGGTTATTCCGAAGAGTGATAAGATTGTGATGTTGGATTCCGGAACATATTTCAAACCGTGAAGAAGGATCTAATTTCAGTCTGTTGATCGTAGGACGGTTTACATATTCTCTAAATTTTTTTTCGATTAATTTGTGTCAGTGGACATTCCTACACAGGACGGATATGAGAGGAGTTACTTTAACCCATTGTGTATTGAGGTTGGTGCAACGAGTTTCAGTTTACGTGTAAATCATCTTTCACAAACCTCATCTCATGATTCGTTTGTTTCGCTGCTGTTGTAATTTGATATTTCGTCAGCGTGGTCAACCTTTCTGTATACTTGAATTTTCACACTCCTTGCTGAATAGAGGATTCTTCTCCTATATATCTTACGTTATCAAAGATTTTGTTGTGCAAATAATAATTATTTCTGAGTTCACCTTATTAGATATAACGAATGCATCAAATATGTGACGTATTAGAATCTTCAGTTCGTTGTTGCAACTGAGTAAATGAATGTTTGCAAGAGTTTGTATCATTCTGTTGTTGTTGTTAAATATCGCAACTTGTCAGGCTCCTTTAACATCTGTATATTCCAAGTTTTCGACTCAGCATTGTAAGTTCGAACAAGTTTAAACTGAAAAGCTCTATGAATATGTAGTCTGACTTTCGAAGAGGTAAGACTCAGTCTATCTACTAATATTAGGACTGATTCAATGGACGCGGATTATTGGGGACTCACACTTGAATGGGAATGTGGTGAAACTGTGAACAGAGAATTTTTAAAAGGTTGGCACACATTTAAATCGATCCGAATTATCAACGAGTGAGAAAAACCACGAACAAATAATACGATCAGGAATTCATTCAAAGAGAGAGACAAATAATGTGAATGCGTATCCAACCACAGCTCAAACATTTTCACTGACTAATCAGGATTGACGTCTACAGGATAAGATGTCAGTCATATATAAAGAAATGAGAATATATAATTTCTACCTGAATTTTTGTCTTAATGAATTTTTTTCAGAAGAATAATGGAAGCTTCTCAAGTAAAACATTCAGCTCTGAGAACGAAGCTTCACCAAATGATGCTAATCATTCTCAGTTCACAGAATTAACAATCAGAAATGTATCCATAGTTTTTTTATGAAACGAGTACGCTAGAAGCATTTCGGACAATATAAAATTTGTTAGGCATTGAAACGATGTGTATTAGATTGAAATTTCAAGATAGACATCAACATTGAGATGTGAATGCTTTTGGCTGACACATGTTGCATTTCATTACTAAATATATTAGGAGCCAAATAAATTCTACAAATATTTAGTTACTTAAATACTGAATACTAGTAAACAAGAAAACTAAGAAATATGGTTCATGACTTCTGAATTGTATTACTGTAAATTGAGTGTTCCTGATGGTTACGACCAAAGTAATAACTGATCAAGTGTTCATTTAGGTGGTTACAAATCTTGTTCTTTTCAATTTCCAAGCATTACACTTAATCCTAGATCTTAATCCAGTTCACCACAGTAACCATTTTTTCAGACTTTTATTTATTAAGTTATTGATTTATATTACCTACATTACGACTATTGTATGAATTTGAAGCAAAAAATGTGCATCTGACAATATGAGTAACATTACGATTCAAGAATTTGATCTGTCCGAATCGCATTCGTTTCCAGTAATGACGGGAGTCAGACAAGACTGTCTACTCTCCCCATTCCTCTTCCTTCTGGTGATTGACTGGATTATGAAAAATTCGACATATGAAGGGAAATACGGAATACAATGGACTACTCAGAACTAATTGTATGGTTCGGAATTCGCATATGACCTAGCCCTCCTCTCTCATACACACGAACAAATACAGATGAAGACAGCAAATGTAGCAGCAGCCTCCGCATCGATAGGCCTCAAAATACACAAAGGAAAATGCAAGAGTCTCAAATACAACACGGAGAACACCAACCCAATCACACTTGATGGCGAAACTGTGGAAGAGGTGGAAACATTCACGTGCCTGGGAAGCATCGTTGATAAACAAGGAGGATCTGATGCAGATGTAAAGGCGAGGATTGGCAAAGCAAAGGCAGCATTTCTACAATTGAAGAACGTATAGAACTCAAAACAACTGTCAACTGATTTCAAAGTCAGAATCTTCAATACGAACGTCAAGACAGTCCAACTGTACGGAGCTGAAACGTGGAGAACAACTACGACCATCATCAGGAAGGTACAAGTATTTATAAACAGTTGTCTTCGCAAAATACTCAACATCCATTGGCCGGACACTATCAGCAACAGTCTTCTGTGGGAGAGAACAAACTAGCTTCCAGCTGAAGGGTAAATTAGGAAAAGACGTTGGAATTGGATCGGACATACATTAAGGAAATCACCAATGTGTATTACAAAGCAATCCCTAACTTGGAATCCGGAAAGGAAGCGAAAAAACGGAAGGCCAAAAAACACATTACTCTGAGAAATAGAAGCAGATATGAAAAGGATGAATGTTAACTGGAAAGAATTGGAAAGGAAGGCTCAGGACAGAGTTGGATGAAGAATTCTAATGAGCGGCCTATGCTCCTCGACGAGGGGTAACAGGCGTAAGTAATTAAGTAAGTAAAATCGCATTCGTAGATGAATATATATAAGTAGCCTGCCAGCTATGACTTTTTCGACTATCAAATTACGTTGACGTCATTGTATAGTTATTTTGAATGAGTAAGATTATGTTTGGTGTTTTTAGTCTGTCGGTAGAAATCCCTAATCCAAGTCTCATTTTGTTTAGCGAAATTCCGTGAAGTTTACTTTTGATTCTGGAGGAACCGAAGCTGCAGACTGATCCAATTTCATATCAATCAAATTTGCACAAAAAGAAATAGCAGCAGCCTTACTCCAATCACTACTGAATTCTTGTAGGACAGATATCCTCATATCCATTAATCAAATCACACTAATGAATGTAATGATTCTCCAGCAATTGAGTACTTATGGAATACTGTTAATCACGTGTTATACCTATACTACTCATGATTAATCAATTTTTCTCATTTTCCAATGCAAATGACATGTTTGGGACTGTTTCAGATGTATATATTTATGTGACAATGTTCACAGGTTTCACACAACTCTTGCCACTTCGAACGGAACTGAAATGCATTTCTCACTACCGAAACATTCGTAGTTGAATATCTAAACAGCATGCCAGCTATTTCTGTCTGTACAACATTAAATGCATATTTTTGATTGATGCTATTGCGAAGATATTTTGATTGAAATAGACAATATTCGGTGGTTATAGTCTGTTGATAGAAAATCATGAAGGTGGATTTCTTGGTAGTTGGTACAGGATAATGATGTGTACACTCACTTCTGAAGAAACTATCACTTCTCGTGTGATCCAAATTCATATCCTTCAAGTTTGCACAATGAGAATTGTCTACTACCCAAATCGAGGATAATGCCATTCAGAGGAGAATTGCATGCAACCTTGAATATTGTTCCAGCACAACCACATAGAAAGTAACAAAATAATGTCAATAATTACTGAACTTGAAACATGATACTCTGTTGGTAGCGTTGAAGCTTTTATAGTGTCTGGTTTTCCTATAGAGAGGGATTGAGTTGTACTGCTTGGGCTAAGCATGGGCAGTGTCTGGCTCTCCTGTTAAACTGGATTGAGCTGTATTGTTTAGGTTGTCGCGTGAAAGTTCAGATGGTGTCTGGTTCTCCTGAAAACCAGTGCAAGATTACCCTGGCCCATAAGGGTATATTATATAACTGTGAGCTAACTGGTTGATCCTGCCAGTAGTCATATGCTTGTCTCAGAGATTAAGCCATGCATGTCAAAGTGCATACCTTAAAACGGTGAAACCGCGAATGGCTCATTAAATCAGCTAAGGTTCCTTAGATCGTAAACGCTACATGGATAAATCTCTTTCCGCAACCATCTGAATCATGACCACAAAATATTCACTACACATCATGCCAACTATCTTGAGCACTCTACACCATACAGAAAAAGTCCGTGAAAAGATCATTTGGAACAGTAATGAACATTGGGTTGTATGAGTTAATGTCACGTAACCCTAAGAGCATGTGGTTTATTTATGTAGTAATTCATACTGAATACTTGCAACACACTACTTATTAACAATACGTAAAACACACAAGTAGGCTTAACGAGACACTATATCAAATACCTCATAATCTGAATCATACTGTTACTGACTACAATAACCAGTTCATACTACCACATACACAGATATGTTTTTCTCTGTCAATTAGATATAGATCAACGGCTTGGAACGGACAATGTATCATTGAAATTAAATCTGATGTTCAAGTGTTCACGTAATTATGCAACAACCATTTGTCCCAACACAGACTGTGATACAGAAGGGGACGACACTTTGAATAACGTCGACATCCTTCTAAAGTAAAAAAGAACACCTCTAATATAAGAAGAAAAAAAAACTGGAAATCAATTCTTTCCATGTGTAATAATAATTCTATTATATTTCAAGTACTATTTTGTGTCGTGTTCAAGAAATCGTTTTCAATTTTCTACAGCTCACTTTCAATGAAATGCATTGCAGTTCTCTTATTACAATCTTAAGAGGCATCAATTTACATAACTGAACACATTCAGTTCGACTTCAACTTGTTCAATGGGAAAATAATTATCTATTTTAATATGGACACCTTTTAACAGTCACGGGTACGAATGGTGGTCAAATAGAATGGATGTGGCTTTGCTAATAAGTTATAATTTCGTATTAAACTACGATGAAATCATCTCACAGAATTTGTTGAATAAAGCAATATTCATGAGTAAAAAATATGCTGTGAATTATGAGATATATATTAGAAAGATAAATTAAATAAAAAAGAATGAACCAAATCGGCCGAGCTGTTCAAAAGTCATGATCGGATGACGGATGATGACGGATCTTTCAAATGTCTGCCCTATCAATTTGTTGGTAGGTGATTTGCCTGTTACATTCTGTGATGACTCGGGATAACTTTACTGATCGCAGTCGGCCATGTGTCAGCGACGGATCTTTCAAATGTCTGCCCTATCAATTTGTTGGTAGGTGATTTGCCTGTCATGATGATAACGGGTAACAGGGAATCAGAGTTCGATTCCAGAGAAGGAGCCTGAGAAATGGCTACCCCATCCAAGGACGGCAGCAGGCGCGAAAATTACTCACTCCCGGCACGGGGAGGTAGTTATGCGGAAAAGTGTGTTCACGAAATTCGCTGTCTCAGGCTTTTCTATAGAATTTTGTCGTACGCACCATTCTATGGGAATTTTCCGTGTCACATTTTCCTTTATAACTTTTGAACGGATTAATATTTTTCAATGGGGTTTTCTTTTTGTTACTTATCTTATGAAATGCTATTCAATGATGTATAACATGTACATGAACATTTAAATTTAAATTTTACTCTTTACACCTGCTTTTACTCGCCATGTTGTATAGGGATACTACCCCTAACTCCTCAGGGTCTGGAAAGTCGGAAAAATGAAAATTTCGCAAATGCGGTAAAAATGATCTTGGTGGTTTTGTATTAGTATTCCGACACGGAACAGTGGGTTTCAAGCTTTCTGAGGCTTGAGTAATGGCTACCCTATCCAAGGACGGCAGCAGGCTCGAAAATTACTCACTCACGGCACAGAGAGGTAGTTATGGTTAAAAGTGTGTTCACCAAATTCGCTGTCTCGTACTTTTCAATCAATAATAATTTATATGAAAATGTAAATATATCATTTATTCATTGTTCATCATTGGAATACATAGACTAACATACATGAAGAGACCCAATGAAGTCTTCTGTTTATTATTGAATACATGCTGATACCTCCTTATAAACGACATTCACAATGATCTGTGCATTCGGAACATTATTCACGATAATTAAATGTTACAGTCGATATGTATTTTACACATTCATTCAATATGATATCCATTTCATGTGTCTTTCAAACTTTTTGATGTCATGGAAAATCGACTAATTTTATGTAATGAACTATAAGTTAAACTTTTACGTAGTAATGGAGTTGATTGATTAGATTGTTCAGATTTAATATTATGTGATGTATTACTTCTAATCAATTTAGGCGTTTGATGACTTGTAGTAGATGAGTTAGGTGAAAACGATGAATATTTAAATGTTAACCAACGTACCATTTGTCTTGGTGAAAATACTTTCATTGTACGTACTGAAGGAAATCGTTTCATTCGACATTGTGTTGATTCTATATTCTCTAACATATTATTTGTAAAATCATTATCCTGAGTTGAACTATGTCTTCGTATACATGATATTTGATTAGTTGTTTTTGATTTGAGAATTTGTGTTAAAGTTAATTTTTTCGACGTACTGAATGTTTCATGCATATCTACAATGACTAAAGGATTCTGGAATTCTTCAGATGGTCTAGATAAAGTGATAATAGTTGGACCTAATGTTGATCTTGTTTGTCGGTTGATATTTTGTATTAGATTAAGCCACTTTCTCATAATTTCACTGGTTTGAGCCTTAAACGAGAAACAGTGAGAATAAATGAATTCGGTCAATTTGTAAGTAAACATTATGTTCAACTTAAAACAGAGCACAAGTGAAATTAATCGAAGAATGACACATTGACCAATCAATAAGAATCACGTAATTGTTCACTGTGTAGTCGTTTTACTGTAGATCATAGGTAAATGCAAAATTTCTTATTCTGTAAATGTTTTACACTGTTATTTAATACAACCGCATGAAATTTCAAAACAAGGTAAAAGTAAGCGAAATATTGACACTTCAACCGATTTTGCGTCTAAGGAAACTCTACTTGAAAGCGTTGTCAGATCTTGTAGTATATATATTTACCCTCATTGACATCAAGGCTCTCATAATTCACGAAGAAATGTCACATGTTACCGTTTGGATGTTTGCTAATAGCGGTTTGTAGAGTTCTGGTGAAAAAACGATCTCTCGTAACAATCTTCACTGTCTAGCTGGTTAATAGTAGTCATAAGGCGATCGAATGTGAGTCATATCTCATCATAATGTTCTAGCTTCAATTGGCTCATGATCTCAACCATTAAAATTACTATAATATCCACAAAAGCCCCATATGAAAAAAGATATTTGTTGCTCAGTTTCTTCTTATCATATTACATTTACAATAATTCAGTCAATATATCAATGTAGATAAGACGATAATTCGGAGACATACTTCAGATTATTGACTAGAATTCTTTCTGTACACCCATTTTGTCATCAAAAAACTTTTACAACAACGAGTTACACAGTGTACTATCTAATTAATTTATAAAACCAATACAAGATAAATGTTAGTTGAATATTTTAACAATCAAAATATTTCTATAAAATATTGAAAATAACCAGACGATTAAACCATCTGATTTCTGAATATCGCTTTGCATAGCTGACAACAGACAAAATGAAGCAGTAAGAAGCTCTAATATGAGATATTAAGTTGATACAAGTCAGGACCTACATTTAGCTTTCTAGTTTATCGATAAAACTCCATCAACCCTGTTTTATACTTCCATAATCTGTTATTTATATACCAAAGGAATACGTATCGATGAAGGGCAGAAAACATTCATACAACCTCTTCAATTATCCTGGTCTTCAAATTGAGTAATTTAACACTTCATAAAATGTACTTTTAGTTTTTTTGTCAAATTTATTCAACTGAATTCCTTATTGTGTTTCTGCATAAACTGCCTTAATTGCCAAATCATTTGAATTTCTGTGCATTTCCTTTGAGTTACTTATTAGTAGTTTTAAAACCAACATTAAACATTTATGATTAAATGACTAACTTTAGATTTACTTAATTCCTGTTCATATTCTTACTTAACTAACTAGCTGTGATAAGCCGATTATATAATTTAATTTTGGTTTAAAGTTTGAGTTATTAACTGATTGCTAACTTTATAGTAAATCTTGAAATGCATTGCTAAATTGATCTTTACTTATTCATTTATTCAAACACAAAAATATTGGTAAAAAGGAGGAATGAATACATATGCACCGCACAAGTCACTTGATTTGCACAAGGGCTGTGATACTGCCCGGATACTCTAATCGAAGCAGACGGTTTTCATAAGGGGGGACACCCGGAGTTTTCTACTTTAAGGTCTGATCCACAAGATAGTAGAACAACGTTAGGAGATGTAGTCCCATTGGTAGCCTGTGACCAATGATTGGTTCATACGCCATTTGTTCCCTCAGGAACCTGGAAAAAAATGCACCACCGGTTTGGAATCAAATTTTTTTAACTTCCTAATCTAGTTGCAGCGTCAGATATTCACTTTTCATCCTCTCAATTTCGCAGACTACATCAATGCCGCGAGAAGACAGGGAGTAGGACTTCAATGACATCATGTGTATACGTGTTGACATGTGACGGCATTTGGAGAGAGTGAGAGAGAGAGAGAGCTGACTCTCCACATTCATCGCTGCACCAGGGTATTGGATCTATCACCTATTGTTTGATATTGATTTTGCATTTCATTTTTGTATAAAGTACTGATAAAGAATTAGTGAAAAGAAATATGTATTAGCTCAACTTGTATACTTAATGACTTAATGGAGGATAGATTTAATTCTTATTATCGAAAATGAAATACTGATAAACTTTAATAGAATGTTCTATTTCGTATAGATTTATAATATTCAAATTATTGAACATAATGAAAGACAATAATCACGAACTTGAAATAGATATCGAGCTCCGGTAGCAGTTGATGTAATACGAAACGTGTTTGTTCGTTTTGTATAATCCTTTGTTTCATTGGCAGTTATTAGATTCTGTCCAACCAGTAATCCAATCTCTCCACGAAATGTATTCGATTGAGGACTTAAACAAAAAATAAAATGATAAGATGTTCTTAGAATCTGAGAAGGAAATTATTTCTTCAAATAACTGTAATGACAACATGAAGAGCTGATGTAGATATAACACAATTAAAGAATTGAGTGTACATGTATAATATTATGCTCCATTTATCATTGGTAACAGTTTAATGAAGTTGTCATAAATAGTCAGATCATTGGAAAAACGGACAATTTTTGAAATGAAAAATGGTAATCGATTTCTGACAAGGTCTCTATTGAATTTTTAAGAACTAGGCATTTAATAACTCCTCCTGGAGCCCCTATAAAGTTGCCGAATAAAGAGGGAGGGTTGGGCATGGAGTTGGCGACCCCGATCCCGTAGAAAGCTAACTCGCTAAAAAAACGCTTACCAGAAAAAATCATTCAAACCATTTTAATTCTGCGTTGGAAGTTGAAAAGGTTTTGAAAAGAACGATTTTTTCAAAACTGATGTGGACGGGTCATTATCTTAGTTACTATAGTTATTGCCCTGTACAATACAAACGTGGTTTGGTAAAGTGTCTTTTTAACAGGCTTCGTCGTATTTGCACAAATGACGCTATTGATGACGATGTTGTTGCCCAAGACATTAATCGTGAATGGCTATTCACCTTAATTTATCAATAGATGGAAAGTTCAGGGCACAGCGAGACCTATTGTAGCCTTTGTAGAGAAAAAGCCTGTCTACATCACCTTAACATTTAGAGGTGATTCAAATAGCCATTTATTGAAACAAAGGCTTATCAACAAAACGTATTGTGCTAAGAAAGTCATAATCAAGGAAAGAACGAGCTCCATGCTTCATTCAAAAACCTAGACGACATGAAAACGATTGTGTCACATCCCAATGCGTTTACCAATTTAAATGTGTGTGTGGTCACACATACATAGGGAGAAGCAATCGTGATCTGAAAATTAGGGTGGGTGAATATGTACCAAAATGGTTGCAAAAACAAATACAGTCGAATGACCCAATAAGAGTAGATGATGAACATCTATCATCCTCTATTGCTAAACATATAATCGAAACAGGTCATAAGATTGATCTAAACTCGGCTTTTGTTGTGCTGTTTAAAAGTGTAAAAGGGCGTATACTAAGATTTATTGAAGCCTTAGCCATACGAAAATTCAAACCCCCTTTGTGTATTCAAAAACAGTTTGTGCTCTCCTTAAACCTAGCCTGGTAATGTGTTAGCTTATTATCCAGAGTGATTAGGTGTCCAATTGTTTTCACATTATTTCATCATTATTATCCTTGTCTATTCTTACTCGTATTTCCAGTCTAATTGACCTTTTATTTTTATATATAAATGTTCTTAACAAGTATATGTGTGATCAGATTGTTCGAAATGTATTGCGCTAATATATCACAAAGTTCTGACAATCTTCGTCTTCTCATTACATTATCGAAAAGGTCTTCATTAAGAAGAGTTGTGAAAGTCGAGTTCCATTGGAAGTCACGAGGCCGATGCCCCATTCTGACAACCAGAGAAATCATTTACCTAGGTACATGGAATGTTCGTACAATGTGAGGGACCGAGAGAGTCATCCGAATTGCTGCAGAAATGAGGAAATATAACCTGGAGGTGCTTGGAATCAGTGAAACATATTGGACGCATGTTAGACAACAACGACAATCTCCAGGGGAGCTTCTGTTATACTCCGGTCATGAAGAAGAAAATGCTACACATACAAAAAGAGTTGCATTGATGCTGTTCAAACAAGCACAAAATGCATTTATAGGATGGGAATCCCATGATCCAGGATCATCAGAGCCTCCTTCAAAACAAAGAAAGAGGGCATTACAATGAACGTCATCCGATGCTATGCGTCTACCAACGACTACGATGAAGACGTTAAACACCAATTCTACGACAGGCTGCAATCGAGCGTCGAGAAGTGCCCAACAAAGGACCTGACTATTCTGATGAGGATTTAAATGCCAAGGTTGGATTGCACAACACCGAATACGAAGACGTCATGGGACGACATGGACTGGGATAAAGGAAAGAAAATAGTGGGAGATTCGCAAACCTATGTTCCTTCAATAAAAGTGTCATTGGCGGCACTATATTCCCACACAAACGCATTCACCAAACCATATGATTTTCACCGGACAACACTACACAGAACCAAATCGACCATATCTGCGTCAACAAAAAGTTCAGTGGACTATGGAGGGTGTTAGAACCAGGAGAGGAGCTGACATAGCATCAGATCATCATTTGTTGGTCGCCAAGATGAAATTAAAACTTAAGAAGCACTGGACAACGAGGAAGACAACATCACAGAAGTTTAATATGGCTTTTCTTTGGGATACTGACAGACTCAACAAATTCAAGATAGCCCTCAACAACAGGTTCCAGGCCTTTGATGATATACTCAATGAAGAGGAAACCACCATGGAGAACAACTGGAAAGGGATCAACGATAATTAAAAAGGACATCTGATCAATATTCAAAGGAAAGGCGATCTCAGCAGGTGTGAGAATTTCAGAGGCATCAGTCTCCTCTCAATACCAGGAAAAGTCTTTACAGAATATTGTTAAACAGGATGAAGGATTACGTAGACGTCCAACTTCGAGATCAAAAAGCTGGATTTCGTAAGGATAGATCGTGTACAGACCAAATTAAAACTCTACGGATCATTGTGGAACAATCACTTTAATGGAATTCATCACTCTACATCAACTTCATTGACTGCGATAAAGCACTTGAAAGCGTGGACAGGACAATATTGTGAAGGCTTGTTCGACACTGCTACGTGCCTGAGAAGATAGTCAATATCATACGGAATTCCCATGATGGATTAAACTGTAAATTCGTGCATTGTCGAATAAAATGGTGTCATCTTAAACTTTTCATAGTTTTATCTCAAGATGAGCAGCCTCATAATAGAGGGAATTTGTTATTTAATTGTCTCTAGTTTTGAGTTGTACTTGAACTGACAATAACAAAGATTAAATACACGCAAAACTAGCCTAAAGCGATTTTTTAGGTTATAATAATATGGTGAGCAGAGAAGGATAGTGGTTTGCAGTGGGATCCAGTTTGACGCGCGTTTCGTTCTATTCGGGACTCGTCAGCTGGAAAGGTGCTGGGGTTCGAGTCCCAGAGTGAACATCAACTCTGAGATGCAGGTACATCCAGCTGACGAGTCCCGGATAGAACGAAATGCGCGTCAAACTGGATTCCACTGCTAACCACTATCCATCTTTGCTTACCATGCTTGTGAATTTAGGCTATATCGATGCAATACGCATAGTATGCACATATGCCAATTAGATACTGACCAGTTGCAGTCCTAACATATCGATGGGAGGTTTCAAATAAACAATACTAAATGAATTTATAATAATATGGTTTCGCAAAGAAATGTTTCTATCAGAAACATATACACTGCTTTCTTTAATATTGTGAGCAGAACATAATCCATAACAGAGATAGACAAGTCCCAGCTAGAACGAAACGCTCATCTTGGATTTCGCTGTTAGCTATATTCCGTTTTTTCTGTAAATTTGTAAGATATTGTTTTACTAGGTAGCTCTTGATTGAATGCAGGTTAAAAATACTTGCAAGCATGTATCAATGAAATCACACTTGAGGGAGAAGCTTTGAAAGTTATGAAAAATTTTACACATCTGGGCAGCATCAATGATGAACATAGAGGATCTGATGCAGATGTGAAGACGCGGATCAGCAAAGCGAGAGTAGCATAGTTCATTGAGGGTAACAGGCGTATGCAACTAAGCGTCCAAAATAAAAACAGAATTTTGTGTAAGATAACCGTATATTCCCAATTTCCATCTTACAGACAACGTGTACCTTATCCCAAATTTTACTAATCATCTACCCTTGACTTGTGATCTGTAGCAATTGTAATATTTTCTTTCTATTTATCACACTACTTTAACGTAGTTTAAGTAGTAACAATCAGAAACAGCCAAAATTGTGCAGATTTTCCTGAACTTAGAAAAACATTATTTGAACAACTCACGAATAGGAGCTTCTGAGTAGAAAAAACTGGTATCAATAGTACAAGGGAGTGTTTCATTCAATACTACTGATTTGAGAAACAAAATACTAATCACATAAAAGTTATTAATCATAGATCAAATATTGTACATTTCAGCATAAACATTTCAACTTACTTATCTTCATTGTAATCAGATTTATTTTTATAGGCTAACAGTCGTTTCACTGATTTATTTAAAACCATATACAATTCATACCATGAACGATCTCGTGATTTACAACTATGATTAATCCATTCATGTTTTCTCATTAAATAATCACTTATAGAATCTAGAAACAAAGTTTAGAAGAATGATGGATGTCATTGGAACACCCTAATGACAGTTCACAGAACGTGATACATGAAATTCATTTAGTAATCCTACCGTATCTTATAAATTGGATACCTATAAAATTCAGTAATCACTGGTCTATTCCACATATCAATAGTATAGAAAGTACGTTTATTCGATTGAAAACATATTAATAACTGGGAGAATTTTAACAATTATAGTGAACATTGAGCGATACTGATTTGATAATAAGGTGGATATGTATTGTCCTAACGATGACATCACAATATTTATTTAAACACATTAATATCTGTGAAAGAAGACACCAGATATATATGCGCCACACAAATCTCATTCATACGTCATTTGTTCCATCTGGATACTGGAGCCCATGTGCACCATTGGTTTTGTATCAGGGTGTTCCAACTCCCCTAGGTGGACCCTCCGTGTCCACCAACCCGGTTGAAGCACCGGACATTCGATCTTCGTCCTCTCAATTTCGTAAACAACACTCTGGTTACGAGAAGGCAGTAAGTAGGACTTCCTTGGTAGAAGCCATATACGCGTGGCCATGTGAGAGCATTTCGAAAGGGAGAGCTGACTCTCCCCACTTTCGGCCATATCAGGGCATTTGGACGCTTATGATATCATATATTGGATTTCAATATGGAAAAAGAGATATTCTATGATTAGATCTATCACTCAATTATCATAGTTATTTAATTTGTGAAACTTTTTCATTTAGAACAAATGTGATGCATAAGCCATAAAATTGTTTCATATCATCAAACAACATCCTTGATCCATCTTTTAGTAAAGTTTACTAAGTGAAATAATATTTTTCAAGTATTCTAAGTAAACTAACTAGATTATAAACAAAGTTTCATATTATAATCATCATCAAGAAAGTCGAGTTTAAGTAGATGAGTAAGGTGTGTAAAAACATGTATGCAACGATGTTACTAGATGTGACAACATATCTCGAACTGAACTGAAAATCTTGATTTCCTTATTGTTTTTTCCTTTGAACATATCATCAAATGATCAAGCGGTTTCAAATGTTTCAATAATTGACCGAATCTGGCTGTGAATAGGGGAAAAGTAATCGATAGACTGATGATAACTCAAGAATCATATAATAATAGGTCAAAGGTCAAAATAAAGCTAATGATACAACAATTATACAATAATAGAAGGGGTTTTGTGGAGATTTAGTATATATTAATGTTGAAAGCGTGAGTCAATTGAAGCTAGACCCCCATGGAAAACCTGGAAACGCTGGACGGCCATTTCGTCCTATTATGGGACTCCTCAGCAATGCGCATCCATGAACTCGCTCTCGCGAGATTCGAACCCAGGACCTACCAGTCTCGAGCCGAAGCCCTTAACCGATAGACCACTGAGCTGGCATCCAACGGTGTTAATTATACAATAGGAAATATACATATTACATTGGTCCATAACTAGTCCTCAGAGTTATCATTCATAATTCACCAGGGGATATAACAGTTTAGTTAACATACTTTTTTCATAAATTATGAATAAATTTTAATACATCAAAAGTATGAGTGTTATATAAAACTACCGAATGAATGTTGTGAACTTTCTTCCACCTGTCGACTAACTTCAGTTGAATCAGTAGTATCCTTTAAATTCTCTTGTGACGTGTCGACATTCTTCTTACAATCATCCAAATCATTTGATACATCTTTTTCATTCAATTCATAATACTTTAAAAGTGTTTGTATATTTTCTGTATCTGAATTGTAAACAATATTTACACAGCTTATCGGCACATTAAGCATATTTTCTTTGATCTCAGCGAGTTCGAACTAAATTAAGTTAAAAGGGTAAACACATATAATATTTCATTAAACACTATGGAAATGACTAAGATAACATTGAATTACTGCTTATACACCATTTGAACATTAACCAATGTATTAAATCATAAGTTCACTTACCTAGTCGAAAATATCTCAATTTCGTCAATCAAAAATGCAAAGTTACATACATTTATGGATCCAAGAGTAATGATATCACTAGAAGAATTGTCCATATAGTTCACTAACAATGTGGTGTTTTGGAATATTAACCCTATACTAGTATAAGTAATGTGTTCTAATGGTCATTATGTCACATAAGCAATACTGACTAGATAATATCCCTCACCCATCACCAAGCTGAATATACACAGTGACTGACCCCTTACTATACAAGTCATAGATTATTATGATACTGAAATGTCGAACATTATATTTCAGCTTGCTTACTTTCCAATAAATACACCACCCACTTCTTAATTTAATTTTTAGCAGCTCATCTCATCCCAACCCTAGTGAGTTATCACTAACCACATTTTATCGTAGTTAAAAATTCAAACAAACTCAAGATTTTATGCATTCTAACAGAAATTCACCGCTGAATGATGCTTCCAGAAATGTTTCAAAACATACAGTAGTTGTTTGAACACTTCACAAGTTTTACTCTGATCTTTACTTTTATAATAGCCTTCATATTGCACTTGTCGTATGATATTACTCAAACTCATATTTCCAAGTGTTTTTGACTTTAGCTATTAATAAGTGAATGTAATATGTCTAATGTTGATTTGCAATAGAGAAAAAAACATCCATTTCCATAATCATTAAGTTAAAGCACTTTGAACTAAACAGATATCTACGCAAGATACTTCTGATCCGTTGGGCAGACACTATCAGCAACATTCTACTGTACGAGAGAACCAATCAGATTTCAGCGGAGGAAGAAATCAGGAAGAAGCGCTGAAACGGAATAGGACACATATTGAGGAAATCACCCAACGGAGTCGCAAGATAAACCCTCACATGGAATTCTCAAGTTCAAATGAGAAGAGGAAGATCAAAGGACACATCACTTCGAGAAGTGGAGACAGACATGAGAAGAATGAACAAAATTGAATAAATCTTGAAAGGAACGGCGAGGACAGAGTGGGTTGGAGAATGATGGTCGGCGAACTATGCTCCATCGGGGGTAACAGGTATAAGTAAGTAAGTAAGACATTGACAGAAGCTTTGCTAAGCTTAATTTCATACCACTCTCTAAATGGACAGAAACAATTTTTTACATAATTTAATACTCAAAGGATGTATTGCTGATAACATAGAGGTAAATGGTTGAGCTTATAATCTATGCAAATCATCTTAACAATCTACAGCTAGGTCAAAGAGTGTAGTTCAGTGATTACTGGATACAGATGGTTTTTATATTCTTGTATTTATTTCATCAGTATTAACTTCTAAAGAATTATATCATTATTTCTGAATAACTAATGAATATGAAACGTTTTACATGTAACATATAAACAAACCTTCGTAAGTTGTTTAACTTTTTCATATCTATTGATTTGTGGCAAAGTATTCCGTTCCAGAACATTTAATCGATCAATTAATATTTGTGTTTCTTTGATAGAATCACCCATATCTAAACATTCTACTTCTGGTGAATGAAGTATTAACCAATGTTCCAAAGAATCTGCGACACTTGATAATAAAAATAAAAAGATTCATGTACATAGATATTAAGCAAGTGATTACAGAATTATCGTAATTCGTAAATAAATTAAACAACTACACTGATTCTTTCTATAACTATTGGATGGGTAGTTAGGAAAAGAAGCGAAGGAGTTTTGTGAATATTATAGTAATTTCAATAGTTGAGATCATGAGTCAAATAAAGCTAAACCACCACGGAAAACCTGGAAGCACTGGATGGCGAAACTGAAAGGTTCTGGGTTCAAATCTCGTGAGGCGGGATCGTAGATGAGCACTGCTGAGAAGTGCCATAATAGAAAGAAATCGGTTTATTCGACAAGAAAGGAAGCAACTAAATAAAAAATATATAATTCACACCATAAAACGGAACAAAATAGTTCAACTTTGAGAGTTAGATGAATACATTTAGGCCACTTGGACTATTAGCTGACGTTTGATAGATTGAATCCACGAATCAGTTTAACTGATTCAACCCTCTTCACCATCTAACGCTTATTTATAAGTTCTATAAAAAATAATTTTTTTCAACGATTCATCATTTGATTGATTATGATCACATAATTCGGCAACATTAGTACTTAGAAGTCATTGGTCTCGATAGATCTGAAATATTCGAAGTATAAATTTCAACTTCTGTCACTTTAAAAGCATTACAATTGGACCGATTACATTTATAACCGAATCGTTAGGAAATATGAAACTCTGGTTAATGAACTAATTATGCGTGAATAATAAGGAGGATCCCAATGATATACGAAAACAAGTGTAAACTCCTTTTAGGTTTCTTCATTAGCATCTTGACATATATAGAATTTGATAGCTGAATCATAGAAGCTAAAAAGTTAAAACACTGAAAATATTTTATTATAAGAAAGGTCGAATCATAAGTATTAATCAGACACTTTATTCAAAATGATTACAGCAGTGATAGACAGATTAGTTGTGACAACATACACCAGTTAGTAGAAATCCTTTGAATGTTATCTGTTTAAATGAATAACTAAGTTCAAATTCAAAAGTATTTCATGTGGAATGTTTTACAGACCTGACAAAAGTGATTTTGTAGTTATCAGTTATCAATTAAACTAACCTTTCAAATTCATTAATACTAAGTTGTAATTCTAATCGTTCATATATTTGATGCCATTTCATATGTAAATTATACCATGATGTTACTAATCGTTTCATACGTAATTGAAGATCTGTTATTATTTGATTTTCTTCATCATTCATTTGACTATCATTTTGTAAATTCAGTTGATTTAATGCTAAAGATGATGAACCTGACTTCTGACTATAATTTGCACTTACAGATTCAAGGTAAGGATTAGAGGAATTTGATCTAATTACTCCAGTTCGACTATGTTGTTCAGTAACATTCAAATTTTGCAAAGTATTTTTTGGAGAATTTTTCCGCTGTTCACTGATCTTGCAAATTTCTATTTCATCAGCTGAATTATTGGTTACATGTTGTCTTTCCATTTCTGTTTTCAAATATAACTGAGACATTTCATATGGTTGATGGCACTTTTCATATTTTGACTTATCATATTGCATCAAATGTTGTTTGAATGAATCTTTCAATCTTTTACCTTCTTCTAAGCATGATTTGACTTTATCATCTCTAGCATTTAGTTCAGCTCGCAATTGAAGTGTTTGACCAATGGCAAATTTTATATTTTCAGTTGTGCTAAAATATAAAAAGGATAATATTTTACGAAATTCAAATCATTAAAAGTGAAAATACTGGTAAATCACCATGGTAGTTAGCGCAAAACTTTGTAAATTCACAGACGAGCAAACTCAGCAACAAAATCGAACTTTCCTACTAATGAAAAATATAAAAAAAACGATCTTAGTTTGAAAATGTTCAGAGTCTTTCATCTTCATTATGCCTGATTTATACAGTACAACTTGAAAACCCAATTGATGTATATTGAGAAGCTTAACAATTCCATCTTTCAGTAAACAATATGTCTGAAGTTGTCAATGTACTGATATTATTTATTTTTTTTAATTATACAAATGAATGTGAAATTTACAACTTAACCTTTTGCAGATGGAAAAGTTACTTTTTTTTCTGGTAAAGGCGAGGATTGGCGAAGCAAGGATAGCACTCTTACAATTGAAGAACATATAGAACTCAAAACAACTCTCAATGAATTTCAAAGCCAGAATCTTCAATACGAACGTTGAGACAGTCCTATTGTACGGAGCTGAAGCGTGGAGAACTACTAAATCCATCGTCAAGAAGGTACAAGTATTTATAAACAGTTATTTACGCAAAATACTCAACATTCACTGGACGGATACTATCAGCGATAGCGTTTTATTGGAGAGGACAAATCAGCTCCACGAGAAATAACAGGCGTAGGTAAGTACGTAAGATGGGAAAATAGTTCATTTCTTTTCTATAATTAAGCACCAACATAACGAATAAAGTTAGTGATTATGTTTCAAGTGTAAATTTTAAGTAAAGAAAAATAAATTCAGATAATAATCACGGTTAAGTCGGGTTACTGTTTCAGTAGTTGTTGACAGAAAATCTTTGGTTGGCGAGACTGTAATTTATGAACAAGCCAATCAGAAGCTTTTGAGGGATTTCAAGGTCATAGCTCCAATTTCAGTATCTGATGCTCATGTGCGATCGGTTCTCAGAGGATTTTAGAGAACACATGATAGCTAAGCGGCTACAACAAATGTGACTACTAAGAAGTTCCCGTATTTGTAATTGCTGTACAGACTACTGTGAGGCTGTTCTTGGGTGTTGAAAAAAGACGTTTGCTAGAATAGGAACCTTTATCACTCAATCCAGATTAAGACTAAGGCATATTACAATAATTGCCGCGAAATGTATAATAAAAGCATCAGAAACATTGACTGCATTATTCGCAGATGTTACTGAAACTTTGGCTGTTCAATGATATGATTACTGTAGGGACATATCCATCATAAAATTGATAAACCTACACAACTGTAGTACACACAAACAATAATGAAGCTATATGGGAGAGGCTGAGAGGGTTTTTGTGACCTTATCATGGCTTTAGAGACCAACTATTATGGAGCCATATGGATGAGTTCCTCTACGTTATGCATTAGGATTTTGGAACCTTTGAAACATTTTCTAACCTTGACAAGTTTTTGGACCATATAAAAGAAGTGTATCCACATTAATTCTTTGGTTTTGTATTATATAGTTTTACTCTACCTGAACGTTTACTGATTGGCTAATATTTCTCAAGGTCAATTAAGTTTCGTTCAAAGGTCGTCCATAAATTATAGCGGAGAAGATTTATAGCTCAGGTGGGTGATTTTTATGTTGGTTTGTTCTCTGAGCTGGATGGTTTGGTCGTGGAGCTTTCATCGTCCTTCTGAACGACATCATCAGCACAAACTTCGGGTAGAAGTGAAGCGTTTGAATTTCTCCACATGTGATTCACAGCTTGTCCTCTGCACCTCGATGTTGATTGGTTCTTATTGACATTAAATCTGTCATTGTTTATTTCTTTGTTTTGATTGTCTCTCCTACTGTTTTGATTTTTGTTCCTATGTTCCTGCATAATTTTCTTGATTGGTTGATAGATTGGATTGATTTCAATATGTTTGTTTATTACTGATTGACCTGAGTGCCAAGCTTCTAAAAATTCTCTGATATTTTTGGAATTGCCTCTGTCCAAAATCTGCACATTTTCCCAATCGAATGTATGTCCGTAGTTGTCCACGTGTATTGATATGAGTGAAGAAATGTCGTGGCGTTTGACTGCTAATTGGTGTTCATGTAGGCGAAGATGCAGGGGGCGTCCGCTTTGTCCAATATAGTGTTTGTTGCAGTTGGTACAATTTATCTTGTAGATGATGTTTGTTTTGTCCTCTTTTGCCATTTCATCTTTTGGTTTGCATAAGATTGAGTGGAGGGACTTTGTTGGTTTGTGGGCTACACCTATTCCGAAGGTTTTCAGTAGCCTTGTTGTCGTTTCCGATATGCCCTTTATGTATGGTAGGGTGATCCTTTTGTTGATTTTTATACTTGACTTAATTTCTGATGGTGTGTGCGACTGGTATTTTTTGATGAAATTGATTGGATAGTCGTTCTTTTGAAGAATGATTTTCAGGTGTTTTTCTTCATTTTTCGTGCTGTGATTGTATTGCAGTGTGTTCTCGCCCTCTTGAACAAAGTTTGTACACAGTTGATTTTGTGAGTTCTTGGGTTGTTGCTATTGTAGTTGAGAATTTGATCGGTGTGGGTCGGCTTCCTGTACACTTGAGTCTCTAGTTTTCCTGTGTCAGTTCTGGTGATTAATACATCTAAGAATGGCAACTTGTTGTCCGACTCTTGTTCCATTGTGAACTTGATGTCGTTGAAGACGTTGTTGATCTGCTCGTAGGTGTTTTCTAGTTCCTCCTTTTTGACGATGACGAATGTGTCGTCTACATAACGAATCCAAATTTTTGGTTTGATCACTGGTAGAATTGTGGTTTCTAGTCGTTGCATTACTGCTTCCGCGATGAGTCCTAATATTGGTGATCCCATTGGTGTCCCTTTTGTTTGTTTGTAGATTTTGTTATTGAATTGGAAATATGTTGTTAGACATAGATCTATGAGTTCAAGTAGGCTTTGACTTTGAAGTTTCGTGTATTTCGCGAGGTTTTCGTCGTTGGTTCGGAGCAAGGATAGAGTTTCTTTTGCTAGGTTTAGTTCAATTGAAGTGAATAGTGCTGTTACATCGAAGGATATCATTAGTTCGTCGTCGTTGATTTGAATGTTACTAATCTGATCACGAAATTGTGTGGCTGATTTGATGGAGTGGTTCGACGAATCTACTAAATGTTTCAGTATTCTTGAGATTTCTCTTGATAAATTGTACGTTGGTGTTCCTGGTAGTGCTACAATTGGACGTAGTGGGATGTTTGGTTTGTGTATCTTTGGTCTGCCGTAGAACCGAGGGAGTACTGGTCCATTAGATTTCATTCTCCATTGATCTTGCTTCGTTATTTCTCCTGCTTTGACGAGTTTGTTTAAAGTTTTTGAAATGCGATTGTCTAGTTTTTCGACTGGATTTATGTCCATCGGTTTGTATGTACTTTTGTCCTCGAGTATTTCCTCGGCTTTCTTGATGTATTCTTCCTTGTCCATAATCACCGTAGTGCGTCCTTTGTCTGCTGGAACGATGACGATATCTTTTCTGGTTCTGAGTTTCTTCAAAGCTGTTTGTTCTTGTGACGTCAAAAGTTTGTAATGCCAATTAAAATTTTTGAAACAAACTGCAATGTTTGCTGTAAACCAGTTGGGTAAGATATAGTTGTACTACTTATCTTGGTTAAAAATGCTGGACATTATATGAAATAAATAAGCTATTAAGTTAAAAGTAGATTCTGAAAAATACCGAATTATGGACCACCATTTGTAACATATATATATATATATATATATATATATATATATATATTTATAACTATATGATACAACGAAGAAATTGGCAGGGAGATATAGCAAACCAGAGAGACCAGTCAAAGACAAAGAAGGAAAGACAATCACTGAGATTCAAGAACACAGGAAAAGATGGGCAGAATATTTCGAGGAACTGCTGAATAGACCAGCCCCTTTGAATCCACCGAACATCGAAGCAGCCCACACAGACCTTCCAATAGATGTCACTCCACCAACGATCGAAGAAGTCAAGATGGCCATCAGACAAATCAAAAGTGGGAAGGCGGCAGGACCTGACAATATACCAGCTGAAGCACTGAAGTCAGACATTGAAATAACTGCAAATATGCTTCACCTTCTATTCAAAAAGATTTGGGAAGAGGAACAAGTGCCAACGGACTGGAAAGAAGGATATCTCATCAAGATACCAAAGAAAGGAGATCTGAGCCAATGTGAGAACTACAGAGGTATCAGTTTGTTATCAGTACCAGGAAAAGTTTTCAACAGAGTGCTGCTGAATCGAATGAAAGACGCAGTAGACGCCGAACTGAGGGATCATCAGGCTGGATTCCGTAAGGATCGGTCGTGCACAGACCAGATTGCGACACTACGGATCATCGTGGAACAATCAGTTGAGTGGAACTCATCACTATACGTCAACTTCATTGACTATGAGAAGGCGTTTGACAGCGTGGACAGGAGAACATTATGGAAACTTCTTCGACACTATGGAGTTCCTCAGAAGATCGTCAACATTATCCAAAACTCATACGACGGACTACAGTGCAAAGTGGTGCATGGAGGACAGCTGACAGATGCATTTCCAGTAAGGACCGGAGTCAGACAAGGCTGTCTACTCTCCCCATTCCTCTTCCTTCTGGTGATTGACTGGATTATGAAGAATTCGACATCTGAAGGGAAATACGGAATACAATGGACTTCTCAGAATCAATTAGATGATTTGGACTTCGCAGATGACCTAGCCCTCCTCCCTCATACACACGAACAAATGCAGATGAAGACAGCAAATGTAGCAGCAGCCTCCGCATCGATAGGCCTCAAAATACACAAAGGAAAAAGCAAGATTCTCAAATGCAACACGGAGAACACCAACGCAATCACACTTGATGGCGAAACTCTGGAAGAGGTGGAAACATTCAAGTACCTGGGGAGCATCGTTGATAAACAAGGAGGATCGGATGCAGATGTAAAGGCGAGGATTGGCAAAGCAAGGGCAGCATTTCTACAATTGAAGAACATATGGAACTCAAAACAACTGTCAACCAATTTCAAGGTCAGAATCTTTAATACGAACGTCAAGACAGTCCTACTGTATGGATCTGAAACGTGGAGAACTACTACGGCCATCATCAGGAAGGTACAAGTATTTATAAACAGTTGTCTACGCAAAATACTCAACATCCATTGGCCGGATACTATCAGCAACAGCGTTTTATGGGAGAGGACAAACCAGCTTCCAGCTGAAGAGGAAATAAGGAAAAGACGTTTGAAGTGGATCGGACATACATTAAGGAAATCACCAATGTGCATCACGACTCAATCCCTAACTTGGAATCTGGAAGGGAAGCGGAAAAGAGGAAGGCCAAAGAACACACTACGCCGGGAAATAGAAGCCGATATGAAAAGGATGAATAGCAACTGGAAAGAACTGGAAAGGAAGGCTCAGGACAGAGTTGGATGGAGAATGCTGGTGAGCGGCCTATGCTCCTCGACGAGGGGTAACAGGCGTAAGTAGAAGTAGTAGAAGTATTTGTAACATATCAGTTTGATTACGAATATAAAACTGTTGAAAAACAAAAAGTATTTGTAGGTAGCGCTAATTTCGTGTAGAAATAACATTGAAAACCGTTGGACATTAGGATATTAAACTCTTCAGTATTGTTTGATATCTAAACCACAAATGGTCGAATTCAGATCATACAGATTTTGCAACTATTGCATAATATTCAAGCAAATGAAATGGTAATATTGTACTGTCAATATCAACCCTTCGTACGGTCACGGATGAGGGCTTCTGAGATATTCCATAAAGGCGTAAATAACTGTCCACTATCGTCTGATTTTCAGACTAAAATCCAGCGTCTTACAGTCCATGATAGAGACGTAATCGACTGAACTGAACTGTGTTCACAATAAACAAAGATGGATAGGGGCTCGCAGTGCAATCCAGTTTGACACGCGTTTCGTCCAATTTGGGACTCGTCATCTGGATGTTCCTACATCTCAAAATTGATGGTCACTATATTTATTTAGGTCTCTTCATGGGATATAATACATTTGCAACATTTAAACAATGTGAACTAGATAACTAGAATTCCTTAGATTATTACTAAAATAGTATTGATGATATTCTAATTAATTTAAAAGAAAAAATTTCAAGAACAGATAAGGATTCATTTCACCAACCAAATTACCCTCATCTATCTACAATAACCCAACAAATTAGAGAAAATTTATCACCTATCTACTAATTATAGAAATTCCTTTCTTGAAATGACAAGTGATCTCATATCTTTTCTAATTTAAAAACTTCTTTTCCATGGTATTTCTATTTTAGAAACTTTAATTTATGAACAAATTGAATAAGATAAATAAGACTAAAATTTGATAATAAATAAAAAGATTGAAAAACGTTTGAAAAAAAAGACGAAAGTAAATTAATCATTGAATTAGAATGATTTAGATCCTCTTTATATTTAGTATATTTAACAAAAAAAGAAAAACGGTTTCCAGGCATTTTGATGATGAATGAGTTAAAGCTAGACCAACATGGAAAACCTGGAAGCACTGGATGGCCGTTTCGTCCCATTGTGGGACTCCTCAGCAGTGTGCATTCATGATCCCGTTTTGAGATATTCGAACCCAGTACCTATCAGTCTCATGCGCGAGCGCTCAATCTCTAGACAATTGCCTCACAAGTTCCTATCGATACAGAAAAAAATATGAATATTAACTATTGAACCTAGAAGTTACAGTTTCATTACAATAGATCTGAACATATAATACTGTTATCAGTCAAATTTTCACAATACTTCACTTCTGTTTAAATTGATATATTTGCTCTTGCAAGTAAAATATAAAACATCTTTGATGCTTATTTGAACGACTATTGGGTGTAATAGATTCATAAGTCGAATCACCTAGTTTGATGTTTTCGTGATAAGGATAACAAACCTTAACCCTATACAAGCGAAAAGGAATCCATGACTTCTTAACTATGTTTAGATCTTACAGCCATGTTGTTTATGATACATAATTAGTTTAAATAATATCTCATGTTTTAATTCTTTAAGAGAATTACCTGATAGCTTCTTGTCATAGGCAAAATAAAAACAATCAGAATGACTTATCGAATGATTTTTAGTTGTTTACAAATAAAGTTTGTTCTTTTCTCTTACATATGACAGAAAATATGAGAATTCGAGCTAACAACCCCAAATCCTAATATTCGAAATCAGTTTATAATATCTCAGTCACTATTTTGGCTAGAGAAAGCCTAATAAATTAGATCACTAATTTTCTTCCACTATTTGTTCGTTCTATTTATTTACAAACTATTTACTCCGGTCGAGTATTGACATACTTCGTATTATTAAAATTCATAGAGATAAAACGATTGATATCAGAGAAGGGGTTTTGTGGATATCATAGTAATTTAATAGTTGAGTTCATGAGTCAATTGAAGCTAAAGGCTATTCAGGAGGCAGGCGCAATTTTGTGGATTGATTGAAGTAAGACATTAATACCGTTGTATCCCGACAGGCTTAATGGTCTAGAGGTTAGGCGTTCGCGTGCAAGATCAATAGGTCCTGGACTCGAATCAAGTAAGGGGGGATTCGCACTACTGAGGATCCCCAGACTAGGACAAAACGGTCGTCCAGTGCTTTCAGTTTCACCATGGTGGTCTAGCCTGAATCGACTACAATCTCCTCTAATCATGAACAACTAATCCATCCTTAAAATATGTCATTACTTCTTGAAATAATATATAACTTGAACAAATAGAGCTAAGTAAAGATCAAAAGGCGAAAAAAACATCTAAAAATTACATGTTATTCGATTTTTTGATAATAGTAGATTGTGGATTAATATTCCATATATCCATTTCAATACGTTCTAATTCTTTTTCACATTGTTGAATCCAATTAAATAGTATATCTAAATTAGATATCCAACGATATAATGCAATAGCATGATTTAATCTTATACGACGAAGATGTGTATTATCTTTAAGTTGATACCAAACAGAAAGTAGAACATCATGTGGTTTTTTTAAACGTTTAATCCAATTTCCAGAATAAAGAGGAAGAAGATAATCAGCTGATCTCTCTACCCAATTAATCTGTAAAATTTAGTAGAACAAAACCATTAAATGATAAGTATTTGATAAAATTATTTTTTTAAAGTTGAATTCATCAATCAATTGAAGATAGATCACCACAGATATCAAGAAGTACTGGACGTCCGTTTCATCCTTTTGTAGGGCTCCTCAGGAGTGCACATCCACGAACGCGTCTCGCTCGCGATCGCCGGTGATTGACTGGAATATGACGACCACAACATCTGAGGTAAAACATGGAATACAGTGGACAGGTTGGATGCAAGAAGACGATTTTGACTTCACCGATGACCTAACCCATCTATCTCATGTACACCAACAAATGCAGATGAAGACAAACAGTGTGTCTGCATTTTCTGAATCAGTGAACCTCAACATATACATGGGGAGAATCAGCATCCTCAAATTCAACACAGACAACATCAAAGCAGTCAGACTTGATGGAGAAATTCTGCAAGATGTGTAAGCTAACACGTGTTCGGTCAGCATCATCGATGAACCAGAAGGATTCGATTCAGACGTAAATGAGAGGATTGGCAAAGTAAAAAGGTATTCCTACAGTTGAAAAAGTTATGGAACTCAAAATAACTGTCAACCAATATCAAAGTTACAATCATCAATACGAACTTTGAGACAGTTGAACTGTAAGGGGCTGAAACGTGGAGAACTACCACTACATTCATCGAAATGGTATAAGTATTTATAATCAATTGTCTAATCAAGATACTCAGTGTCCGTTGACCGGATGCTATCATCAACAACCTACTGTTGGAGAGAAAAAACCAGCTTCCAATTGAAGAATAAATCAGGAAAGATGGATAGGTGGATAAGATCAAACTCTAACTTGAAATTCTGAAGGGAAACAGGAAAAAAGAATACTGAGTAACACACTGTGTTGATTATCCAAAGCAGACATGAAAAGGATGAATAGCATTTGAAAACGACTGTTAAGGATTGTCCAGAACAGAGTTGAGTGTAGAGTGTTGATGGGTAACCTATTCTTCTCCATGAAGGGTAACATGTATAAGTAAATAAGTTTTTAGTATCTCTTTTTTTAATTTACATTCTTGTTGATCACTTTTTATTACAATCTGTATGTTTTTCTTTTTGGCTTCTTTATATTGTCCGAGACGATAGTTATTTCTTTTAATTTTTTAACACATTATAAGTGTTACAACTATTTTAAGTTCAACTAATTAATGGATGGAACCATTTAATTTGTGATACAAAATATTGATTAATGAATAATTTCATAACTTACTAATGGTTCAAGAGCTTGAACATCTTGTTCAAATGCACATAATAACGACAATTGTTTACATATAGCTTGTACATCTTTACCAATTGATTGAGATAATTGATCAGATTTTTCTTGAACAAGTTTCAAAGTTTCCTATAATTAATGAAAAAAAAAAAAAGTGTACTAGTGGATGAAAAACGAATACTTTGAAGTTGACAATTATAATACTTAAAATTTCAATGACCGAATTCGTTCATTATAATAATGTGCAACACTTATATGGAAATTAGATCTAATCTTGTTTTAATATATAAAGGTGAATTAACTTCAGAAATGATCTTATTTTTATGATCTGATCATGTTAAAACTCATTGATGATCAATGTGAACTAATATTTTCTGTTATTTTCTGGATCGTGGAATAGAATTAGAGGATTGGATTAATTATTCAGTTTTTGCTTGAATCAAATATGAAACACTCTAAAAGTCTTGGAAATCAGCCTATACTTATTTTGATAATTTTTGTTCCTTGTTTTTAATCAAATATTATTCATTGAGGATTAGTGTGTAACATGATGTTTACAGTATCATCACCAACCTTATCGAAATGAAGAAATAATTTTAATAGTTGAGATCATGAGTTAATTGAAGTTAGACCACCATTGAAAACCTGGAAACACTGGACGGCCGTTTCGTCCTATTATAGGACTCCTCAGCAGTGTGCATCCACAATCCCGCACTCGTGAGATTCGAATCCAAGGCCTACCAGTCTCGAGGCAGAGCTCTTTAACTGATAGACCACTGAGCTGGTCGGCATCCAACGGTGTTAATGTATAAATACAATTATGTCCAAAACTAGGGGATTATAGTAGAAAATAGAGTACAAAGGGTTACGTCTAAATTACAATAGCTTTGGAACAGAAAAATGCTATGTCAGTGAATCATACATCAAACGAAATCTTATGATCTGTAGAATAGACTAGGGGCAAAAGTAAATGTTACAGTTTTACAAGCTTTGAATTCAATGAAATAACATCCAAAAAAATAGCTTCCGTAGTTTGTTAAGGCTTCTTGTTTTGCGGTTCACATCAGTTACTCACTAGTAACCTTCATAGAGTTCCTATCATTTTTAAAATCATCTAACGTGATCAGCAAAGATAATGATGATATTTACAAGACAGTAACTCATTTAAATACCTTTTTTTTGATAGAACAAGTAACAGTGAAAACTGAATTGGAACAAAATAAAACTTACAGAGCAACGAGTTAAAAAAATAAATCGATGAGCAGCTGATATTAATAATCTAACTCTTGAATAAATTAATTCATGTAAATCAGCCCATGTTTCTGTAATAATATCTTGCCAATATGCAATACGTGGAGAATCTGAATGTTTTGTACGTATTAAACAACGACACATATTCATAACTTTTTCAATACGTTCAATAGCAAAACCAGATGTATATACAAATTGATCAGTTATATTCATCGGATATATTGTTGATATAGGATCAAATGAACGTAGTTCAATTTCTACAAATGATGTAAAAGATTCACCTAGAAGATTTTCACCAAAATGTACAAATCGATTAATAAGACGTACACATTCATTTAAACTTCGACCGGTATATGTTGATGAAGCTATAAGGATTTGTTGATTTAACCAACTCTAAAGTAAAGAAATAAGATGAAATTTGTAAAGTATGTAGACATTTTCTGCGAACACTTTTATCAACATAAATATATTTGATAAAATGAACTATTTTGATAAAAATATCACTATATGTTTTAAGGGAACAAAATGTTCTAGCTATAAAATATGACCTATGATGAAGTATTTGTACAAAACACTTGGAATCCGTACCTTGAAAATGAATTTCTCAAATGATCAGAAGTGGTTTTAAGCAGATTTTAGTAATTTTTTAAACTTGAATTCATGAGTCAATTGAACCTAGACCAACATGGAAAACCTGAGAGCACTGGATGGCCGTTTCGTCCATTTGTGCGACTCTTCAACAGTGCGCATCCACGATCCTGCCTTACCAGATTCGAACCAATGACCTACAAGTCTCGCGCGCGAGCGCCTAATCTCTAGACCACCGAGCCTCCGGGATCCACCGGTGTTAATGACTAACTTCAACCGATCCACAAAATTGAGCGACATGTCCACCATTGTCTTCAGTGACTAACTATCTCACAACAGACTTGGTTGAACTTCACTGGTCTTCGCTTCTCAGTAGAACGTCAGTCACTAGTGAGCATATGTTGAATTATATCAGAAAAGGTTTTTGAGGATATTATAGTAATTTTAATAGTTGAGATTATGTGTCGATTTAAGCTAGACCACCACGCAAAACCTAGCAGCATTTAGTTTTTAATATCTTTTATTTAACCTTTTGTCAAATTCTATTCATCAATTATCGGCAAAGTTTCTTTATGAAGCTGCAAACTTCGTTCGTCTAGACTTCGTTATATTTTTTAGATGGGAAATAAAGTATAGCGGTTTTTATTCTATGATAAATGACTGGCATTTGTGTCGACTAGCATTGTTTAAAAAAAATACATTAAGGAGACATTTGAAAGGCAGTAATCTACTTCAAGATAATTCAGATAGAGAAACAAACAGACGAATTTTAGAGTTTTACTGTTTTGTAAGGCTATCTATTGGGTTCTACATATTGGAGCTTACCAATGACTACAAGGATTACTTTGTCCAGATTGTATATTTGATAAATAAAGCTTTTTTCAAAATGAAAAAATATTTCATTTCAAAAATAGTCATAACATTTAAAACAAGACTTCAACAATTGCTTCAAAAAGAATTACGTGAAGAAACAAAACTATATTCGTAATAGAATGGGCGTTTGTGGAAAATGTAGTGCATTAATAGTTGAATTTATGAGTCGATTGATGCCAGACTATTAAATTATTATAATTTACACAAACTACTACTACTACTACTACTACACAAACTACTAGTGACTGTTTTCAAGATATGTTTCCTGGAGTTCTAGTAAGTATATATAAGCAGTAGAGTCCAACCGTGTCTATTGTGAAGCAATTACTCACTGAAGACAATGGTAGACGGTTGCTCAATTTTGTGGATTGGTTGAAATTAGACATCAACATCGTTTGATACCGGTCGGCTCAGTGGTGTAGAGGTTAAGCGTTCGCTCATCAGACGGAAGGTCCTGTTTTCATGGATCGTCGATGCGCACTGCTGAGAATTCCCAGACTAAGACGAAACGGACGTCCATTACTTCAAAGTTTTTCATCGTGGTCTAGCCTAAATGGACTCATTAACTCAACTATTATATATTTTGTAGTTTGTTGTCTCTCTGTTCAATACCCGTAAATCAAACGACGTTTTAATCATTTTTATGCTGATAAAATCCTAACGTTATTCGCCATTGAATGTGTTATGTTTTTTTTTAAAAATTATCTAGTTTATTGTGGTAATGGCTTTCATGACAACAGCTTGGTTATCATGCAAGATATAATTATCAATAAGAAGAATCATCAATGTAAGCTATATATTTTATCTAATGTCATGAAAGTTCATTTTATAACTTTTAAATTGTTTGTAATAATAAATCTGATATAAAGTGTACACTTTTAGTAATCTGAACTCTGTTTGCTATATTGCAATCTTAAAGTTGTTGTTGAATAGAACAAATTGTTTTCATGTCTCAATTAGAATTTATTCCTTGAGTTCTAGTGGAAAACAGTGACCAGTGTAGTTCAACCAAGTCTGTTGTAGAGATATCAACTCACTGAAGACAATTGGTGAACGGTTGCTCAAATACGTGGATCAGTTGAAGTTAGATATTAACACCATTGGATGCCGACCAGCTCAGTGGTCTATCGGTAAAGTGCTCCGGCGCGAAGCTGGTAGGTCCTGGGTTCGCATCTCGTGAGGCGGGATCATGGATGCGCACTGCTGAGGAGTCCCGAAATAGGACGATGAGGCCGTCCAGTGCTTCCAGGTTTTCCATGGTGGTCTAGTTTCAATTGACTCATGATTTCAACCATGAAAATTTATTTTATTGTCGAAGCCCAATTAACTATTATCAATATTCTGTTGCTTTTTGCTCTAAGAGTTGTAGACTTTATCAACGTTGAAAAAAGTAGATTAGTTTATCGAATGACTAGAATCCTTCGATTTTTGGCTAAAGTAGGACTGTTGAGTAAACAGTAGTTACGAAGAACGGCAGGTTGCATTTCAGTGATCACTCAATTTGTTTTGAATTATGATAGTTATTTTTAATCTATACATACTTTCGCTCATCAGTTATCGATATTATATAAAACGTATTGTTTGATCACGTATGTTTACCTTACGTTTTTTGTTTAGATATCATTTTTCATTCTATTTTTAATAAATGTAAAGTGTTTCTATCCACTTATTTTGAACACAAACGTCTGCCTCGTTATGTCCTGGTACGGCCGAGGTTGAAGAAAGTTGACTTTTTCTCTCCAAATTCTCTCACACGTACACGTGCATACAACAATTGTCAGGGAAGTCCTAATCACTGCCTTTTCTCACCGCCGAGGTGCTGTTCACAAAATTGAAACGACAAACGGCGTATGAACCAATTATTGGTCACCGGCTATCATGGGATGATCTCTCCTGACGTCACTCTACTACCTTGTGGATCAGACATTTAGGTAGAATGCTGTGAATGTGGATCCCTAAGAAAACCACCTGGTTCGGTCTTGGTACCCAAGCCGTACCACAGCACATACACAAATCAAGTGACTTTGGTAATGCATATGTATTCGTTGCCTCTTTTTAACAATATTTATGTGTTTGAGTAAATAAATAAACGTCATCTTCGCTAAGGTTGAATGTCTCCATATTTATCATTATCGATTACGTTAAATAAAATGATTTCGAATAATATGATTAATGATATGACTAATATGATTAAATCAATCATTTGGAGTTCCTGTAGAGTTAGCTGTCAAATTCATCCATTTCAATAATAGCGATTACTTTGATATATATATATATATACACTGATCTTTCACAATGAAGCAGGATCGTTCATAAAGTCAATGAGTTTTTGAAAGAATGTTATATAGTTGCAGATTTGTATGTGATATCGATAATACAATTCTAATAATGCTAATGATAATTATATTGCTAGGTAAAACGTAATAAACAGAGAAGGGTTTTATGAATATTATATTAATTTATTAGTTGAATTCATGAGTCAATGAAAGCTGGACCATCATAGAAAACCTGTTATGAGATAGCAACTCACTGAAAACAATGGTGGATGTTTCGCTAAATTTCGTGAATCGGTTAAAGTTAGACATTAACATCGTTGAATGCCGGCTTAATGGACTAGAGGTTAAGCGCTGGCGTGCGAGACTTGTGGGTCCGGGGTTCGAATATCAGGAGGCGGGATCGTGGATGCGCACTGTCGAGGAGTCCTACAATAGAACGAAACGGTCCTCTAGTGCTCTAATGTTTTCCATGTTGGTCCAACCTTATTTGACTCATGATCTAAACTTGTAAAATTTCAGATATCTAGAATTCAATAGATTATATAATCTAGATAATTTGAAAGCCATAAAGTATAAATTATTCAACAAATTTTAGAAAAACTTAAGTACCCAAATTTGTATATCAGAGGTGCCTGATAACTTTATTTAAAGATTCTTATCGGAGTACGTAATATAAAAACACTAGTCATGGATTACTTCAAAGTTCTTCAAAATTTATAATGGTATTATGTGTGCTACTGATGTCTACATATATAAGTAGTATGTATCATCAATCGAAAGTGAAATACTTGAAGGTAACAGGTTATTAAGATCAAAGAAAACAGAACGAGAACAGAGAATGGACAATGCGGAAATCAAGAAGCAGTGAAGTCTGAGACAATTGGTTGACATTTGCAAAAGGAATAATCAAGTTTGAGACAGTTGATTGACATTTTGTAAATGAAGTATTTTCTGTACAGTTCTCAGACTTTGCTAAAATATTATGTAGTTTTGCTGTGACATACATGCGATTGTCTCCATGTATGTTCTCGTTCACTACAATGGTAGTTAATTGTATTCTCTGGTAGTGGATAGGATTTTTAGCTCCGGGAACAAAACTCTATCAAAATAATAATAATTAGGGTAGATAAACTTACTTTCAACTCGGAAACTTCTTCATATACAATACTCAATGATAGAATTTCTTCTAAACGTTGACGTTTCTGTACACAAACATCTAATAAACTTGAATATTGACGATCCATAATACGTTGAATAGATTGTATCATTTGAATACGTTTACGTATTTGTTTAATTTGACTACGTAATTTACGACGATTTATTAAATTGTCAAATGAATTTTGTTTTAATTTATTTATATTTTCATCATCATGCACAATAGACTGCAATTGTTGATTTTGATCAGTTTGTTTTTGAGTTGATATTCCAGATAATTTTTGTACAACTTTTTCTAAATTTTCATTTGTTTTAATTAATTCCAATTGATTTTTATATTTTTCTTTATGTTCCAAAAATTCATTTATTAATTTCAATGATTTTTGATCTTTTATTCCATAATAAAATATAAGTAATCAGTAAATAACACATACAGTACAACATTAAATTATTATCGATATGATAAGTAAAGATGGACAGAGTCTAGTAGTCGAATCGAGGACGCGCGTTTTATCCTATTTGGGACTCGTCAGCCGGATGTACCTGCATCTCAAAGTTGATATTAACTGTGAGACTTGAACCAAGTACCTTTCCATTCAAACGCCATCACGTTATCCACTCAGCTATTGAATCTTGAAATGCATGTACAAATAAAATGAAACGCGTGTCAAACTGGATTCCACTGCTAGCCACTATCCATATGCGCCTAGAATGCTAGTAAATTAAGGCTATATAGAGGCAATACGCACAGTATGCACATATGCCAATAAGAGACAGACTGATCAATTGCAGTCCTAAACAACAATGCGAAGATTCAAACAAACAATAACAAGTGAATTTAATATCCATATTGTTTAAATGTAACTTTAACATATATTAAAATAAAACAATGAATACTTAATCAAACCTTCATTTTGAATGACTTCAACTTTAGTTTCTATATTATTCAGTCTTTTTATATATTTTATTACAGTATCCATTATATCAAGGTACATATCAATTCATCATGAATGTAATACTCATTGCTAAATAATGAAAGTAATCTATCAGATGTTAATGGTTTCTTAAATTTTCTAAGATTTTGTCATTAATCAAGTCTAAGGGTTAAACAAAGTGTAAGAAGAAATGTTTTTATTACAGAATACCTCGGTAAAATCTGACAACTATACAGTAAACAGTTAATTTGCAAACTATCAAAAAATCTTGACCATTCCTTCTGTAAATATCAGTCCATAGTCTCCGATTATTATTATTCATACATTTTCATATCAATTGCGTTTCGTTTCTGTTCTTTCCTTATCAACCTTCTAGTGAAATAAATTCACTGCCTGACTATCGACATATACTACTTATGTGGATATAAGCAACCCACACCATAGCATTAGGTAAATTCATTCTGTATTGTAATGTTGAATCATCAAAGATGATTTCCGTATTCAGTTCTGAATGTAAAACTTATCATAAACATTTATGAGGAACGTTTTTCAAGAGTAAAATATAATTTTATACACACATCATAAGAAATAGACTGTTATATCCTGAAGAGAATTATGAATAGTAACTTTTGGGATCCATTTATGAACCAATGCTATGCGTATGTTTTTATCGTATAATTGTTAACTAACTAAACTATTCATATTCATGTTCCTCTCATTATAAGTTTTATTTTGATCCATAGATTATTATTATACGATTTGTCATTCTTGAGTTATCCCTAGTCTATCAATTAGTGTCTCTCACATTCACAGTTACATTTGCCTAAATCTTGTACAAATGATGTTTTTCCTATTTTATGGTACGATGTGGTTTGCTTGAAATAAATGATTCATATTACAGAGGCTGTTATTGGTGTTCTGAACTTAACTAAGCTGGGCTAGACAGAAAACAGGACTGACAAGTACTCTAAACTGGTTACGTGTATCATGAGTTTGATCAATAATTCACTGCTCTATAATTGGTCATATTATCGCCTTATACATTAACAGAGTATCCATGCAGACCACAAATTATAACATAGACAAAATAAATTAAGTAGATAAATAAAATGGAATAGACGATAGTGAAATAGAAAAAAAAAACACAACACAAATCTTAATTCCCATGTGTCCAGTAAAATGTAATTAATAATTTAAATAAATTGTATTATATCAATTTTACATCAAGTGCTAATATAAATAAATAATTCAATAATCATTATCGAGTAATACTCTTGAAATGAAAAACAGTAAAATTTACTGACGACTATAATTACACTTGAGTTTATAATATTGTTTATTATAAGGTAATATTTAGTAATTGTAAGAAGCGATTTATCCTGAGTTTCTAGTATAAGTCATTACTTACTTACACGTGTTATTCCTCGTGGAGAATTATAGGTCACCCACCAGTACTCTACACTCAACTCTGTTCTGGACAATCCCTAACAGTTATTTCCAATCGATGTTCATTCTATTCATGTCTGCTTCCAATACGCAACGGTATGTGATCCTTGGTCATCTCTCCTCTGTTTCACTTCAGTATTCCAAGTTAGGGATTGTCTCGTGATGTAGTTTGGTGATTTCGTCAATGTATATCCTATCCACTTCAGAAGTGTTTTCCTAATTTCCTCTTCACTTAGAATCTGGTTGGATCTCTTCAACAGTAGGTTGTTGATGATAATATACGATCAACGGACACTAAGTATCTTGAGTAGAAAATTGTTTATAAATACTTGAATAATTTTTATGAATGTTAAGGTGTAGTGGACAGAACACGAGTGGGGAAAATCGAATGTATTTAAACACAAATTAGAAACTATTTTACTAAGATCGGATAACCATACATCAATCAGTTAATTTGCAAAATAACAATCAAAGGAGCATACACCACCGAACAACATTCTCCAACCCACTCTGTCCTGTGCTTTCCTTTCTAGTTCTATTCAACTGTTGTTCATTCTCTTCATGTTTGTCTCCATTTATCAGCGTAATGTGTTCTTTGGTCTTCTTCTTCTCCTTAGGCCTTAAGAATTCCATGTTAAGGCTTGTCTTGCGACGCAGTTCAGTGATTCCATCAATGTATGTCCTATCCACTTCCAGCACTTCTTTCTTATTTCTTTCTCCACTGGATGCAATCTGGTTTGTTCCCTCCCACAGTTGATTGTTACTGATAGTGTTTGGACAACGGATTAGATGTATTTTGCGTAGACAATTGTCAATAAACACTTGTACCTTCAGGATGATTGCCTTCGTAGTTCTTCAGGTTTCCACCCATACAGTAGAACTGTCTCTACATTTGTATTGAAAATTCTGACTTTGGTGTTGGTTGACACTTGTTGAGTTGACTTTCAGATGTTCTTCAGTTGTAAATAAGCCGCTGTTGCTTTGCCGATCCGTGTCTCCACATCTGCATCAGATCCACCATGTTCATCAATGATGTTGTGCAGATATGTAAAGAATCTTTAGTCCTCCAAAGCTTCTCCGTCAAACGTAACACGATTAGTGCATGCCTTATTGTTTCAGAGAGTCTTGCTTTTCCTTTTTGTGTATGTTGAGACCTACTACTGCTGAGTCTGCTGCTTCACTAGTCTTCTTCTCCTGTATTTGTTTTTGCGTGCGTGACAGAAGAATCAGATCATTCAATTGAATGCATATGAAATAATTCCTTTGTAAATAGCGCTATAGACTTCAGAAATAAATGAAATTCTTCTAATATTTACGTTTCTTCTTGGATATTCTGAGTAATAACCAATATAATTGTCTAATGATTTACCTCAACTGGTTTGTTATGTTTAATATTTATCCTTATTACATAGTTGATTAAAGATTGAAGTAGACTTAAATGAAAACAATATTCTTCACTTAGGAAATCTTTTTATTTTCTAATTAGTAACCAATCAATTATATGACATGAAATTTTTTCTAATCATTCTATTTTACAGTTTTTCAAAAAAAAATTAATATAAACTATATTGACTACTGATTAGTGATATTAGTAATTACGTCAAAAAAAACACCCTATCAACATCATCATAAATTATATATATGTATGATATTCTTGTAATGATGAACAAAAAAAAAAGAAAAATGCCACAACAACAACAACAACAACCAGAAAGGTACTTCAGTATATTTAAACACAGTTTTCATTGATAATTTTTGTTCTGTTGCCTAGTTAAATGAAATCAATAATTTTTTTGTTTGTTGTTGTTGTTGTTGTTGTTGCTGTTGTTCAATGTTAAATCATAAATAAAGAAATGATATGTAGTTTTGACAATTTAGTTATATAAAACTAACTATTCATTTACATGGTTGAATAGTAATAGACATAAAAATAGTGATAATCTTATCTTGTATCTAAGGGATAATTCTTATGTAAAAAAAATTGTATAAAAAAATAAATTATAAATAAAATATAGAATAAATATCATAGTGACTGTTAGGGTGATCCTGAAAATGGATATGACAAGCTTAGGAAACATGAAGAAGAATTTTTGTCCAATCAGAGTTTGACTAGAAGTTTTGCTAGAAATATCATGAAAATGAAAAATCATATGTAGAGTTTCTGATTGGCTGATTACTACACTACTACTATATTTAGTAGTATTCCAGAATTTTCAAGAAAATCCAAAAACTTCTAAAATACCATAAAACCCTATATTTTCTGTATATAAATAAACTTTTGAAGCAAAGTCCTTCTTGCATATTTTGCACCTTTTCTCTCTTGTAGATTGAGCTTGGTTTGGGGTTACGAGACTAGTTTAGGATCAGAGTATAGCGTTCAATCAGCAAGACTTATCAATCACCCTATATCTAACTTCAATTAGATTGTATACTGTTTGTCATTGAAATATATATGTCGGCTATTTTTGTATATTTCATCGACTTAAATCGCAATGGTGAATAACGGAATGGAATTTTTGAATACAAGTATTTTTTACACTCATTGATCTAGACAGGAAATGTGAAGGATGAAGCGAATAGAAGAGAGGGAAGCAAAATGACGTTCAATATAGAAGACTTGTGAACCAACTTCTTAGGAGTTGATCAGGAGTTAATCAATGTTTATAGCTAGATAAAAATAAGTTATTGATATATGATGAATGAGCTGAGCAATGCACACATATACGCTCATATAAAAACCACTAATGTTGATAAGCGAATAATTGACAAGGTAGCAACGTGACTCAAGAAGAATGAATAAACTGACCTACCTAGAAGCTAGAATAAGGTATATGGTCTTAGCATAGAAACCGATGGTACAATATTATCATTAATTAAATCACGAAAATATAACTTAAATGTTTTTTTATGGAATATAATTTGTCTGTAAACAACAACAACAATAACAACAACGTCAACAGCATGTAAAATATTCAATAGATTTTTTTATAGTTGAGTTCACGAATTA